GACACTTTGCCATTAGGAGAAAGGAAGAAGCACAGCCTATCCATGATTTCCATGAGGCTTTCTTTCTATCAACTGTCCACCCATGAGTGCCCTATACTGTTTCAGATACTACTGGCTAAATTCACAAAACAGAGGGCTAATTCACAAAACAGAGAGCCAAATGCAAGGTCGCTACTGCTCAGGCCCATATTAAGTAGCTACAAGACAGCATATTACCCTTAGCTTCCAATATAAATTGGGAATTGGGAAGAACCCTAGAAGATACAGTTCATTGTTTAAGAACTGCTTGGGCAATTTCTTTGCCTATAAAAGTCTCCCAGAAATTCCTTTTCACAATAGTTTTACCTTTTAAAAGACTTTGTGTCTAAAAACAGTCAATGACAACTTACACTAAAGGGCATACTTGTAACATGTAGAAGTACAAATAAAACAGAAAACCATTAGGCTGCTAAATTTGTTGGAATAGAAACCACTTCCTCAATGCAATTTCTTTAAACAAACAAGTGAAAATGTTGAAATGTGTATTTCTCTTTTTATAATAGTTATATTCAACATATTTAGTAAACAAGATAAGGAAGGTAAGACTTAGAGGTAGGTGGCATGGTAAGAGCAATGTGGATTCTACAGATTAAGGAAGGTTCAAGTTCATAAGGTTCTTCAAGTTCAGATTATGATTTCTGAACCTCAATTTCTTCATTCTGCAAATGTAAGGTCGACTTTATAAGGTTGTTCTACATAGCAAAGAAAATAAGGATTCAGGTATTATAAGATACAAATTAATCTCTTACGCAGCTGAAGTCTAGGTTAAAAGGTGAACCTACAAAAGTCACTATAATCCAGAAGTGGAGAGTGAAGAGTGTCCTAAGAGTTACAGATAACATGCTTTGGCTACTTAGTGGAGAAGATTTTCACCTAGGTAGGAACATGGATAAAGATTTCCTAAAGGAGGCTGCACTGTAATGAGGGGAGACTCTGAATTCAGAATGGGTAAGAATTAGTACTGAAGATGCAGTACGGGCATCGCATAAGCAATGTCACAGAGTAAGGTGACGGTATATAGGTATTAACCAGTAAAGTGATACACTTCTATTTTGACTTCATAGGATAGCATAAATGAACAAAATCAACAGAAAATCTACTACGGTTTTATTCAAACTAATCAGCACAAATAAGAGAAGGTGACTGTTCATATCCAATCAATGGAATGAATCACACCATGAGTTAGAGAGCAGTCACCTCTAAAGCAAAGCCCAAGATGTGCCTCAACCCTCCCTTTACGCCCAGCCTTGCCATGAATCCTGCACCAAAAGTGGCTTCAGTGATTCTCACAGCAAGAATAGTTTCAAGTAGAGAAACCAACAGCAGATTTGAGCATCCAGGTCACCATAAACTGCACTTGCCTTTTCACTTTAGTCATGGGGCTACCTAAGAGGAAATTCTAATTTCTCATGGAAGTAACCTTTGTGGTTCAGTACTGTTTCCAAGCCCAATCACTTGAACTCACTAGCCATTTCTGGCTAAAGACTGAGGCATTTAAAATAAATCTGGATGCAGGATGGAGAATTTTATTGAACATTAATCTTTATAATGCACTTCATTCTTAAAAAGTAAAATTAAAGAAATAAAGAAAAGAATCCTAAGAAAAGTATGTAAAATATTAGTATGGATCAAAAGAAAGAGATTAGAAGGTGGCAAAAAGTGAATACAGTGAAATTAAAGCTCTGCAGCAATGTCAGGAATATATGGAAAATTATTGGAGTTCTCTCTCTCCATGGTATGTTTTTAAAGGAAAAAAGTAATTCTCATGGGAGAGTAACAGAAAGGAAAGAGGAAAACAGCTGGCTGTGAGCCATGGTTTACCATTCACCACAAAATGAGAGTCTGTTTCTATTTCTCAAAGGCCATTGTTTTTTTGGAAGCAGACCCTGACTCTACTTACGGTGTCAATTATGATGAGAAACTTAAGATACAAGGAAGGGTTCCAGATGTGTCACTTAAAAGACAAGGCAAGAACATAAAAGTCAAATTGTGTTCTAAAATATTATTAAAACAAAAACTCTGTATAACCAAACTAGCTCCCACATCCTAGCAACAGCTCACTTTAACAAAAACAAAGTATAGCAAATTCTAATTACAAAAATCCCTGGTCTCTGTGATATAGTGGGGTTTTAACTGGCAATTAATTCAAATCTGTTCAGATGATGTGGACAAGCTCTCCTTTTATAAACCAAAAGTCCTATAACGGGATCATCCACGTAGGTCATTGTGTAGTAAAGCCAACCCTCTTTAATGTTTTTAAAGGAAATGTTAATGGAAAAAAACCACATTTTTTCATCTGCCTGGGGAAAATGCCTTATGAAATCAACAGTGTAATGTTAGGGTTTTAGAAGGAAAAAAATGCCATGCATCTTAAAACACGAGTCAAATTTAGTTTTTTTTCTTTTTTTTGGTACCAGGGATTGAACTTGGGTCCCTGTGCTTGCGAGGCAGGCACCAGAACCACTGAGCTAAATCCCCAGCCCAATTTTTTTTTTTTTTTTGGGTACTGGGTATCGAACTTGGGACTTTGCACTTGCAAGGCAGGCGCCAGAACCATCAAATTTAGTTTTATTGCAATGGTTGTGCCTTTGTTTCAATTTCCAATTTGCCTTTTCTCAGGGTACATTCCAACTATTACTTTTTCTGGTATAATTGAGTCAAAAAAGAAAACTAGGTGTCAAAATAGGGTGAGCAGCCTCTGCTGATAAATCAAAGGCAACTGTTCTTTATGTGCATTAGAAAAAATTCTACAAAAAAAAAAAAGAAAAAGAAAAATTCTAATGGGCACATAAGTTTATTTTTTAGGTTATGGCTAAGTCTGTGAAATTTATTCCTGAGATCTCCAAACTGTTTTGTACTGGAAAACTTTTTGTTCAATTCACTGAAAATCAAATCCATCATGAGTTCTTTGCAAAGTATGGATACCGCTGGCAGTCAAACTGGACACTCTTGTTTCCAATGTACTGGTTGAAGACTTTGTTTTAAGAATCCCTGCCAATGACAAGGTCATAAAAGAGTTTTTTAATGCCATGGGATTACCTATCTTTAAACTCCTGTATCTTTTTTCTTGGGGTGGAGTTAGAAGAGGAAGATTACAGAGAAGGTTAAGATTCTTGGTTGGAAGATATCCTTTTAAAGTAAAGGCGAGATGGAAGAAAGGAATTACACCATGTCAAAGGCAGTATTTATGTATCATAACCCACCTTTTGAAACTTTAGGAAACTGCTTATAAATAATATCTTGATTTTTCCCTTAAAAATACATAAAATTTGGATTTTCCCCCTTGGAATTATTCTTTGCCTCAGAGTTTATGAAACACTTTCAGGTGTTTCCCTCACACACACAGACTCACGCATTATCAAAATTCCACACCCGAAGAGTACATTTATTACAATTGAGGAAACATGCTGATATATTATTGTCTCCAAAGTCCATAGTTTACATTATGGTATTCTTGGTACTGTACATTCTATGGGTTTTGACAAATGTATAATGATGATACATATCCAACATTACAAAATTATACAAAATAGTGCTATTGCCTTAAAAATCCTGTGCTTTGCCTATTCATCTCACTTTTCCCCTAAAGGGCGCGTTAAGTTCTACAAAGCCCTTTTTGAGTCAGTATTTATAATCAAGGACATGACCCACGAAATTTTAGACAAGTACTCAATTTAGTAGCTCTTACATACATGAAACCAAAGTAAGACTAGTGTACATGAACACAACGTTAACTACATAGCAAACAAGATTAACCAAAACCAGTATTATTTAAAATAATTTTTAAAAGATAATCAAATAGGAAGAGAATAAAATTACCCTATTCTTATAAGTTACATTTTCTTGTACTTGGATTCCCTTTTGAGAGCTAAGTTTGGTCATAAGAGACCAAGGAACTTTTTTCTCATTGCAAGTTTTATTGGTTCACAGCTTCCTTGACGCAATACTTTGTATTTCCTTACAGTTTCAACTATTTGCATATAGTTTCAAAGATTCAATTCTGGGCAAAGACAGAATTAATGTTCAAGATCAGAAACTTCGTCTTCTGGAAGATGAATTAATAACAATACTGGCAACCATATATGAGCTAGAGAAGAAAACTGACTTTTGTCTACTTTTCCCTTTCTCACTGGACAACTTCCTTCCCTATTTGGTAAGAGACAGCTAGCTTAAATTTGGTGCAAAGTAATATGCGAAATTCCGTGGAACGGGACCTTCCACACAAAATGTTACCCTCGAAAGTGACATCAGCATTTTTTGAGTCACACTGTGGTCCCCACCCTTCTTTCCCAGGCGACCTGAGGCCCCCACACCCCGATGAGGCTCAGGTAGGGACAAGGCTCCAGCTGCCCGGGAACAGTCAGGCTGAAAGTGTTCCCCGGCTCTCAGCACGGGTGTCAATCGCTGATTGTGGCCAGCTGCCGAAGAGGGAAACCGAGGGAGCAGCGCCCTGGAGATCCCGTAATGAGTGAAGACTCACAGGGAAAATCATCACTTCTCCAGTTATCAGCAAGCGCGGGCGCGAAGGAAGCGCATTAGTCAGCACTCACCGCAGAGCGCCTGGGGGGGCCGAGAAGCAGGGTGGGAGGAGGTCAGAAGCGTCAAAGCCAACTCGGCGCCCTTAAACCACTGAGGCTAGATCGAGTGAATTTCCTGAGACAGGAAGAAGTGGCATGGTCTCGCCCCAACTCGCCCTAACCTCGACCTTTCCTTTTGGGGAGGCAGAGGCGCAGCGGAAACATTTCCAGGAAAGTTTCAAACACCTTCAAAGGCTGGGCGTGGTGGGTCGGGAGAGCCGCGTTCCAGGGAGGCGGCGGGTCCCGCGGAACGGGGCTGCCCGGAAGGGGGTGCCGGCCCTGGGGTCCCCGCGCAGGGCGGGTCGCGCGCCCCACGGCAGGTGACGATCCAGGGCGCCGCCCTCGCAGGTGAAGTAAGCGCCGTCGGCCGCCAGTGCCTCTCACCTTTTTCACTTTGGCTTCCAGGTCCATGCCGGTGCGCCGGGGGGACTCCCTCCTCCTTCCTCCTGGGGGGGCCACGCCCGGGATCCTGGGCCTCCGGCTTCAGAGCTCAGACTCAGACGCCACTGCCACTGGGCTCACCCAGCGCCGTCGAACTTCCGCCGTCCAGTTAACCCGCCGCAGCCGGCCTGCGGCTAGAACCGGGAACAAAGAGGCGCAGGCAGCCAATGGCAGCCGGGCAGCCCCGGGACGCGGCCAATCACCGAGCACCGCACGCACCTTCGCGGGCCGAGCGCGGCGCCCGCAAGGTGAGGGGCGGGGCGGCGTCGGGGGCGGTGCCTTGCGGAGCGCGCGCCCAGCTCAGACCCTGGCGCCAGCCTGCCCGCAGCTGAGGTAAATGAGACGGACCCCCTTCCAAGTTGGCAGTTTGTACCTGTGTTCGCAGGTCCTTTTGAGTCAGGTCAAGAGAAGTAGTCATCCCAACACTAACTTCTTGGTTTCAAGGCGAAGGGAGAAACGAGATAGTGGAGACTGTTGAGCTGTAGAGACGCTCCTTTCTCAAATGCTTTTCTCCAATAGACCTCAATGCTGGTGTGGAACCTTATTTCGCACCCTCCAGTGAAGATTGCTATAGCGTTTTCTGAGCATTCGATTGTTCACATGTGAGGATGTGAAGCAAGTTGGCTTCAGAAACAGGTTGGGTTGTTCCTTTGAGAAGAGAGACACCCTCGCCCCTGCTCTCTGCACTGTGAGCTTGCACAAGGCCACTCTTGGGTTTCATTCTTACTTCCACAAAGCCAGAATTTCACAAGTATCACAGCCACGTAGGAGCACCAGAGCTGGACCCATTTGGTGTACTCATGCAGGAGAAGCTGAGATGAATATTATCAGATTCTCGAGTCTGGAAGGGACACTAGAGCTTATTCAGTATATTACCTTCATTTGCAGGGAACCAAAGACCCTGGCCGAGCAGAGTGAGATCTGCACGATGTCTTAGCTTATTGGGGCCAGAGCTAGCACTCATGAATCTTTCAGCAACTTCACCAGAATATTTGGGAAAAAGAATAATTTTCTTCAGTTTATGGTAATAGCAGAAAACAATAATGACCAGATAGCAGGTAACTCTTAATCTGGCATCTGCTTTTGAAAGGAGAGCAAAAGAGGAAGCTCCCCAGCTGCCATCCCAGGCTCCTAGGGTCAAGAAGGTGAGCCGGTTCCAGCACCCTGAGGGAAGCTCCCCAGCCTCCATCCCAGGCTCCTAGGGCAGTGAAGCTCAGCCGGTCCCAGCACCTGGAAGGAATCTCCCTGGCTGCCATCCAAGGCTCTCCTAGGTCCAAGAAGGTGAGCTGGTCCCTGCACCCGG